CCAGGTCTCATGCGCGTAGCTTAGGGGAAAGTGTCCCGAAACCTGCACAGTTATCCGACTGCACAAGTATAGCGCAGGTTGCACAAGATGTGCACAAAAGCTGAGTTTCCTTCAGCCGACTGGATCCACACCAAGATAAGACGTCGGGAGAAAGTTTTCAACAGTTTCTAAACTGCTCTGTGTCCGCTGGAGGACTCCTCGGCGTGGAGGAGGAGGAGGAGGAAGAAGAGGAGGAGGCCAGGCCGACATGAGGCTGTGTAACCGGGGTGTGATGATGCTGCTGACCACGGCGGGGGCTTTCTGCGCCTTCAGCCTCATGACCATCGCCGTGGGTACGGACTACTGGCTGTACTCCCGAGGGATGTGCCGCTCCAAGAGCCAGAACGACAACGAGACCGTCCGCAAGAACGAGGAGGTCCTGACCCACTCCGGTCTGTGGAGGACCTGCTGCACCGAGGGTAGGAAATAAACTGTCTGTACTGTCAACACTGAGTTTACACAGTTCACCGTTACACTGGTTTCTACAACAGAGAGGATTTGTAAAAATCACAGAAAAACCTATATATTTACAAAAGATGAAAATATATCAAAGTGAAGGATAAACTGTGAGTTCCTTTAGGTACATTAAGCCTATTACTGCCACATGAGAGAAAATGTTGGCCTGCAACATATTGAGAGATAAATAAATAAATAAAGTTAACAAACTATAAATGTATATATAAACATAAAAGTATTTAGATCAGATATTCAGATAAAAAATGATAGAAAATGTTATTTAAATACGAGTATTATATTCAAAAGTAGTAGAAGAAGAAGAGTGGCCCCTGTGAGTTTTTTTTATTATCATAAACTTTATCATTTGGTTGGTATTATTTTATGTGTAAGTAGCATTTTAGAAATATTTTAAACTATTTTACATGCCGTTGAGGTGTTTAGTCAATAATAATATATCATATTTTCTAAATTATGTTTTATATGTAAAATTCTAATCTGTAAAGTAATGATAGTTGTTAAAAGTAGTGGAGTAAAAGGAACCAGATTTTCCTCTGAATTGTAGTAGAATAGTATGTAAAAAGTAATGAAATGGAAATACTCAAAGTACGAGTGGATCAATATTGTACTTAAGTACTTGAATTGTAAATGTTGACATTCCACCACGTTTAGCACACAAACAGAAATAATAAAGTGTATGCTTTTTTACAAACAAAACAGCTTCAAGTCAGCATGAAGTCGACTGTATTTCTTTTGTACCTTTCATAACTGCAGTTACAAAGGGCTTCACAAGCACACATAATATACAGTACCATAAAATAATGCAAATTCAATGTATGTTCAAACACAGAGACAAAATAAAGACAAAGCCACAACAACATTGGGGTAATTCTGTGTTTTCAAAAGCTTTTTATAATAAGTGGCACAGAGTCGGGTAATCTGAGGGTGAATTTGTTCCACAATATTTGGGCTTAAACAGACATAAACTAAACTTTATTAACCAGCCTTTTGAGCCCATAATGATCATTTTAACTACATTTGAGGCTCAGGTGGATTCATGGTTTGATTTTAAATCCTGAAGATGAATCTTGGGGAGATGAGTTTTGGACATGTGATGGATGGAAATGACAGTTTTAATTATTTATAGCTTTATAATAGCACCGCTCTGTCTCTTACCCTATATCAGATATGTGTTTAGCTAATTTTTCTGAATGAAATGAAACATTCAGCTTCTCCCTCATACACAGTTCCTCTCAGCCCCTCCCTCTGCCGCTGCCCCTCCATCTCTAAGCTCCAAAATGGTTTAATGGAGAGGTAACAAAGCATGCAGAGGACATCAATGCTTCAACAGTCCTGTGTGTTTGTGTTTGTGTTTATGTGTTTGTGTTTGTGTGAGAGACAGGAGACAGTCGGTGTGTAAGAAGTGTGTATACATATGTGAGGTGCAAGAGTTCCGTTAATTGCAGCGGGTGGTGTAATTTGCACGGATC